TACAACCACCGGGTGAGCCAAAAAGTAAGGCTTCAACCACTTGACTGCTACAAACAGGGCCAACCCAAATTTTTCGATCATAGGGTACCGGAGCTCAGCATTTTTAAGAACATGGCTAATGAAATACACCGGGAGCTGGTTACCGTCTCTCTCACCAAGGAGGACGGCACTGAGGGAATGATCAGAGACGACTAGGTACATGTAGAGAACCTCCTGGGGTAGGGGGCTCACTAGCCTTGGCAAAGAGTGCAAGTGTTGCTTTAGCCTCTGGAATGCCACTTCCGCCTTTTCTCCCCACTCAAATCTGGACCTCTTCTGGATGGCCTGGAAGAAATAGAGGCACTTGTCGCCTGACCGGCTGAGGAATCTCCCCAACGCCGCCAGGCAACCGGTCAACTTCTGGACTTCTTTTACAGTGCGGGGAGACCGCATGTCGATGACCGCCTGTACTTTTTCTGGATTAACCTCTATGCCCTTTGGTTGATAAAAAATCCGAGGAACTTCCCAAACTCAACACCAAATACACACTTATTTGGGTTAAGCATGACCTGGTGCCGCCTGAGTGTGGTGAATGTTTCCCGGAGGTCCAGTAGGATATCCGTCTGTAGCTTGGATTTGACTATCATGTCATCAATGTACGCCTCTACATTCTTGCCAATCTGGTTGATGAAAACTGTGTTTATCATGCACTGGAATGTAGCCGGTGCATTCTTTAACCCAAACGGCATCACCTTGTAACAAAATAACCCCTGATCAGTGATGAAGGTCGTCTTTTCTTGATCTTTTTTCCATAGGGGTATTTGATGGAAACCTGAATAGGCATCCATGAAACTCATCAGAACATGACCGGATGTCGAGTCGACCAGACTGTCGATCTTTGGAAGCGGGTAACTGTCCTTGGGACATGCTCTGTTTAGATCTGTGTAGTCTACACACATCCGCCAGGTACCATTCGGCTTTTTCACGAGGACAACGTTTGCTACCCAATCCGTGTAGTAGCATTGTCGGATGAACCCAGCATCTAACAGTTTTTTGACCTCAGCCGCTGCCGCCTGAGATCTTTCTTCACCGTGATCCCTCTTTTTCTGCCTGACCGACTTCTTTTTAGGGTCCTCGGCGAGCTTGTGGACGGCTAAATCCGGGCTGACGCCTGTCATCTCTTCCACTTCAAAGGCAAAGATTTCTTTGAATTCCTTCAGAAGTTGAAGCAGGTCTACTCCCAACCGTTCAAAAGCAACCGTCCCTATCCTGACGGTTCTGTCTGGGCGGCTGTCGTCCAGGACGACATCGAGGCAGTCACCAGCCGGCTGAGGTCGTTGGTCATTTGACCTTTCCCCGGCTAGTGATTGCTATTTTTCTTGTTTGACGGGTTCTGTTTGGTCCGCCTTCCTTTTCCTACCGGCTTCCCTTGGAGCAGGGACTGCTGTATCACAATTATCAATGTCTATGGGCTTGTCGTCACCGGCTGCCCCCATAGTCGGTTTGACGTCAGAGATATAGCACTCCCTAGCCGTCCTCTGGTCCCCTTTTAGGGAACCGACTATACCATCATCCTTTTCAAATTTAACGAGCATGAGCGAGGGAACGATGACAGCCTTGGATTCATTGAGGGTCGGACGGCCAAAGATCATGTTGTAGGCGGCCAGCTCTTCTACAACTAAAAATTTAACAACCATGTGACGTCCTTCCCCCTTTTCACCCAGCCGGATGGGAAGATCTATGCTCCCTACCGGATGCACTACCCCTCCCCCAAAACCAACTAGTGGGTGAGGCGCCTGGTGCATGTTACTGGGTTTGTACTTGAGCTTGGTCAAACACTGATAGCTGATCAGGTCAGACGAGCTCCCGGTATCTATTAGGATCCGGCCAACCCTCTGATTGGCAACTTTACACTCGACGACTATGGGATCGTCGTGAGGCCGCCTGACCTTGCCTCGGTCCTTTTCAGAAATAAGGACCTCAGGAAAAGTGTCTTTCGACGCCTGGCTCTCATCCACTGAGTTGACCAGCTTCCTGATGTTATCTTTGGTGCCCCTAATGGTGGGACCCCCTCCGGCAAAACCGCCTGCTATGGTGAAGATAGTCTCTTCATCCGTCTCAGAGTTGGTGAGCACAGTTTTTGTCGTCTGCCCCTTCTTTGCCTAGGTGTTACTCTTGGCTTTGGGCAGATAGGACTTCAGAGCTCCCTCATCAGCCAGACGGTCTAATAGCCGCCTGAGGCTATAGCAACCATTAGTGTCGTGGCCGACATCCTCATGGTACTGGCAGTATTTACTCTTGTCCCGGTTGCTTACGAGACGTTTCATTGCAGCCGGTTTCTCGAGAGACATCCGGTCTTTGATCTCCGTGAGGATGGAGGAGCAGTCCTTTGTGAACTCGTACTTGGGAACGTACGGTTCAGATTTCCGTCTGAAATTCTGAGCCGGCTGACCAGGTCGGTCTGCCGCCCAGACCTCTTTTCTCTTCTTTTCTTCTTTTTTCGCCGGCTGTGGCTGTTGCCGGTTATCTTTCCTGTCGGATTTTTTGGAATCCGACGGCTGCTTTACAGCGCAAAGCTCCGTCGCCTGTATATAGGCTTCAGCTTCCATTAACACCTCTTGAAGGGTAGCTACCCTTTTCCGGACGAGGTCGAACTTAAAGGTCGACCCATCCTTCAGACCCTTAAAGAAGTCTGTGTAAGCAACTTCGTCAGACAGTCCTTGAATCTGAATTCTCATCAGATTGAACCGTCTGACATAGGACCGGAGCACTTCTCTGTCACCCTGCTGTATTGCCCCTAGGTCAAGGCTAGTCTTTTTGGCAGGGATATTCATTGAAAAATTTGACGTAAATAAGTACGCCGAAGTTCTGAAGTTGTTGATGCAGCCGGCTGGTAGATTACCAAACAACCGTTGGGCAATGCCCTTCAGGGTAGCCGGGAAGCATCGGCACTAGACGGCATCGTCCAACCCCTGTAGGTACATGAGGTTAGAGTAGGCCATTAGGTGGTCTTCTGGGTTGGAGGTACCATCGTAGGCCCCTACCAACACGTTTTTAACCTTAGCCGGCTGTGGCGCTTGGGTTATCTCGGGGGAGAACGATGTTGGCTGTTCTCCCAAATTTAGCAGGTGCAGCTGCCAATCCATGGGTTGGTACGGCTACTGCACATGCTTGCCAAAGAGGCCCGACTGGGTAAAAAGGGATCCACCCAACCCATTTGGCGGACCAAATAGCCAGCCTGGATCACTTGGGGTCCAGACCGGGCGGAGGGTTCGCCCGTCTGACTCCCTAGGCTTGTTCCCGTACGCCTGTTAGAGGTGTCACGGAAACTGTCTGGGAAGGTCGACGTTGAGGCCGACGTAGATGCTTGACTTCTCTTTTCTTGGAGGAACATCCGGGCATCAGAGAAAGTCTTCTTGGAACCATCTGGCTGTAATTGCCGGATGGGTTTTCTGAGTTCCGCTTGAGGGAAGCGGAGTCTGTTAGTATCGAACTTGAGGCCCTCCCCCTCCTTTAGCTTTGGGTGAGGGGTAGGGACCCGATCTTTGATCATCTTCTTCCCAGAAGAAGGCTTCTTGGCCGGCTGACTCTTTTTGGGAGTAGCTGACCGAATAAGGTTCTTGATCTCGCCCTTGAAACTATTCATGAAGGTCATGAGTTCGTTCCTGGTGACGGGAGCAGAGCCTTCTGCCGCCTGGGCAGCCCCAACCGGGTTGCCGGCTGGGTTGCCTGGAGCAGCCTGGTTGTTATCCCGTTCCTTCTTATCTTTGGAACGGGTGTGTTTTGTTCTGAAGGACCCGTCTGGGGCCACATAGGTGTTGACTTCATAGTCGTCACCACTTTCATGGTTCGTCTGGACCTCAGGCTCGGCCAACAGCCGCTTGTCCTGATCCGGTAGTACAGGGTTAGAAGTCATCTCAGAAGTACTCTCCCCACAGACGGCGCCAAATGTTTCGGGGTTTTTTGATGTGTCCTACGGGAGAGTTACAATTCCGAGAATGCCCTTCACCGCTTGTACCTGCAAAACCACGAAGTCTCCGGTTGGTTGGAGCTCCGCCTCCGACGATCAAGTCAGTTACGTACAGGATGAAAAGTGTGCGTAAATAGTGAAATTACTTCTCACGTAATGGGAGAATTCTGCAATTAATATTGCTCAAGACTGGTGTATGTATTTATGAATGCCCATTAATGAGGGCCCTTCCACTATTTATAGTGGGGAGTCTTGGTTCCCCATTTAGGGTTCATTGGACACGTGTCAGCAGGGGATTGGAGCCCTGCTGACCAATGGCTGGGTGCCACGTGTCACTTGGCCATAGGGCCACGTGTCTGGGGTATTTTTTACTCCAAACACTAATTAAATGAGTTAGCATCGGTTTTGGTTAGAACCGGTGCCAACTCCCTATTTTCCAATCCCGCCCATTTCTTTTGGCACCGGTTTTCAAGAACCGGTGCTAAAGGGGGGGTGCCTATTTGATTTTTTCTACTAGTGAATATTGGAGTATAAGTTACCGTTGCATTTCAAAACAAATTTCTGTACGAATTAATTGTTCTTCGCCAACCTCTATTCAAAATTTTCTTCAATTTGTTCTTCCGCCAAATTAGGGTTCGTATTTGCAAAAATTCTTATTAAATTGCCCAATTCAACTTATTTTATATAAGTTTATGTATAAAATTCGTTGAATTTGAGCAAAAATCAAAAGGAATCGATGTGATTTGCTTTGATTTGGAGCAATTACAATGGATTTTAGAGAAATTTGGTGGTTTTAAGAGAGAAGATGAAGGAAAGTGTGAAACGTGTTTGATGAGAGAGAAAATCAGATATTTTGGGTAAAATATGAAGTTGGGCAGCTGCATTATTTACAGTAATGCCATTACTTGTTCTCCGTTGATCTTAACCGTCTACTTTAATCTAATCCTACGGCTTAGATTTGTTCTCATATATTAGGAGTGTTCTCACATAAAGGATGGTTCTCACAGGATCCCGACCATATAGAAATAGGATCATATGAGACCACCCCCTTATGTGAGAACCCTATTATATGTGAGGAAATATTACAACCGTTGGTTAATTGCATCCAATGGCTATAATTTATCCCAATCAATTGTAATTTCAAATACAATTTTCCAGCGTTTTCTCTCTCCTCCTTCATTTGAAGTGCCATTTTTCTCTCTCCTCCTTCAATTTCTCTGCTCCCTACTTACTACTCTCTTCCTTTGCTTTGATTCTTCATCAATTCTGCTTCTAACTTCATTGATTCTTTGACAAGGTAATTTTCGTTGATTTTAGTTTGATTTTCGTTGATTAAAGTTTGATTTTTGTTGATTAAAGTTTGATTTTTCGTTGATTTTAGTTTGATTACTTAAGGTTTTTGTCAATTTTTTTGGGATTTTTGGCAATTTTCGAACTTATTAGTTGATTTTAGTTTGAATTTTGCTTCATTTGTTAATTAGGGTTCTTTATAGTGTAATTCGAACTTTTACTTATATTTTCTAAGGTTATGAATGGTTATAGAGATTGATTTTGTCAATTTTGGTAATTGCATTTCACTAATTTGTGCTTAAATTTTGTCATTTTACCATTTTTTTGTACGATTTATGTGTGGTTTTGTTGGGTGATTTTTGTGCCATTTTTTTTATTGTTGGTGTCGTTGTTGTTGTGTTCGACATTCAAGTAATGTAGATTGAATTAAGGATAATTGGTATTGTTTTCCTATTGAAAGAATTTCGTAAAATAGGGGAAACTCTCTATTAAGAATGACTGAGATTTGGATTGTTCTTTAGTTGAAGTCGGCTGGGTGCCCAAAGGGCGAGTAGTGTAGGTTGGATTGAGGGTGACTGATTTGGTTTTCCTGTATGGAAGAACTGAAATAATGTCTTAAAATATGGGAAACTCTCTTAAAGCTGATTTTTTCTATTGTTCTACAGCTGTAGTTGACCCTGTATGGAGGAATTGAAGCAATGTCTTAAAATACAGGAAATTCTCATTAAGCTCAGTTTTACAATTGTTTGGCAGTTGTAGTTTACTAGGTGCCTGGAGGGTGAGAAATGTAGGTTGGATTGAGGGAGATCAGATTGGTTTTCCTGTATAAAGGAATCGAAGGAATTTCCTAGTCAAAGCTTTTTTTTGGGGGTAGACTAATGCTAGGCTATAGCATGAGATATTACAAATTTATATATTGTGGTGTGTTTGATTTTTATGCCTTATAGGAAGTGTTTAGGAATTTCCATAACTGATAAGGGGGCATTTTTGAGTTTTTATACGCTATTTGCATACTCAATTTTGTATCAGTTAGTATGAGTGTAATCATGACAAATCTATGTCAAAACTAGAGTCTGTAAGGACATTCAAGGTTTTCAAAGATTATTTTTTTTGGTGGTTTGCTCTGTAGTCTGGTTCCGGGTATGTATCTGCCAAAGTTTCATATGTTGGTGATGTTCAAGAACATGATTTGAAAATCAAAGAGTGGGAGGCTAGAGTGCTACAAGAGGAAATGGCTGCTAGTCAGGGCATAACTATTAGAAGACGGCCTCCAATGGCTCCTCCTTCAGGTTATGATGGTCCATTTGTGGTTCAAGTACAGGACATCGCTAACACCCCTCGTAACATCTTGGAGGAGATTATATGGTACAAGGATGTTGAAGTTTCACAGGTATACTAATTTGTTAACTTCCTATCAATAGTGTTATAATTTAAGTGACCTCTTACAATTTTGCTCTTATTAGTTCAAGGAAAGACGACCTCTTGATGATTTAGAGAAGGCACTTGATGATGCTCCCCAAACAAGAGATTTTGTTGGCGCTTTAAGAGCAGCTTACCAACGGACAGGATTACCTGGTTTGATTGCTGAAGTTAAGAAGGCTTCGCCTAGTAGAGGCATTATAAGAGAGGACTTCAATACAGTATGGATCCTTGCTCATTTGTCAAATGAGCAAATGGTTCTTGCTCATTTTGTCAAATTCATGCTCATTTGTGAGTGTATTTGAATGTTTTAAATACGTTAACCTACTAGCTAGGGTAGAGCATTGTGCACATGCACAAAAGATGTGGGTTTGAATCCCACGTAGGTTCATTTATGTAAAGTGGAGACACAAGTTTGTATGAGAGTTTAATTGTAACAAAGTTTATATAGTTATAAATCATTTCAAACCAGTTTTTTGCTCATATAATTTAGTACAAATTTGGATTTTTTTTTTAATTAATTTTTTTTATAGAGATAACCTATGTAGGAATTGAACCTACATCCCCTATGCATTTGCATAGTGCTCTACCAATTAAGCTAATAGGTTTTATCATATATTTTAAATCATTTTCTATGTTATAAATTTTTAATCAGTTCATTTGACAAATCAACAAAGAATTGTTTGCTCATTTGATAAAATGAACAAAGAATTGTTGCTCATTTATCAAATGAGCAAAGATTTGTTTGCTCGTCTAATAAATGAGCAGAGAATTATGTGCCCATTTGATAAATGAGCAAGATTTTTTTGCTCATTTGACAAATGAGCAAGAATTATTTGCTCATTTGACAAAATGAGCAAAGAATAATTTGCTCATTTGAAAAATGAGCAAATATTTGCTTGCTCATTTGCATCATACACAAGCCAAATAAGACATATATTATGCATCATCTCTTATAAGAAAATCTTGTAATACTTGAGGGCTAAATAATAAGACAAATATTATGCACCAATTTATTCCTTGCCTTTGCTTATTTGTACAACCAACTAAGAATTAGTTTGATCATTTGACCAAAGCTCTTATCTTACACCACAACTCCACCCTCACCTTACACCACAACTCCACCCTCACCTTACCCAATCACACGCACAACAACAGCAATAACACCACAGCAGGCCACACATCCTAATATCTACGCCACCAACCATGCCCTGCTACTAGCAATTTTGCAGCCATCATTCCCAGCCAACACTAACTGCTGCTACAGTCCTCACACCCACGCCACACATTGCAGCACAGCAATTGCTCGTCTGATAAATGAGCAAAGAATTATGAGCTCATTTGATGTATTTCGCCCAAATTTACAACGAAAAGAAAACATAACAAGGCCCCTAGTTGTTTCAAGTAACTAGATTAGCACATCTGCATGTCAATTGAAGTGAGAACAACCACATGTCACCAGCAACTTTCTACTTCTCAAGCTAGAGGTGGTGATGTCAAAACTACTTTCTAAAATTGAGACAATTAATTAATTTTCTTAGAGGTTCTAATGTCTTTTCTATATGTTTAGCAACCCAGAAAAGCTATGAACCACCAAGTGAGCTCATAAATTAAAATAAAGACCACGTACTTATTACGAAACAGTGTCAAAATAAGCCATCTTTAGTATGGAAAAAGCTTTTGTACATTTACTGCCTGACCGAGATGATGAAACCAAACCAGAACAATTTTTTTCATAGCCAATAATCATAGGTCACGATCAAGAATTATTCACGAATTATATTTCTCTCCTCGGACTTATAGATTAGAAGAGGCCAAGCATTCAATCCTAAACCATACACTAGAAAGAAACAGTGCAAAACAAAACCATGATAGCATATAATATGAATTATAGACCTTTATAACCTTAGTTCTGCTTAAAGCTCATAATTTGTCAACCATGAGTTGACAATATGCATTGGACCCCTCTATAGAAGTTAAACAAAATGCAGAAAATTAGCAACTTAAATATTTTTGATATGATATATTTCATTTGCACAAAAGATTTACCGTAAGTGGGCTTCCCGATGGCTTTCCTGTCTGAGACACTGAAGCTCTCCTGCCTTGCTACCACTAACTAGATATTTACCATCAAGGGACCATGTTATGCATGAGTACCCAATTTGTGTGTCCTATACAAGTAAACCAAAGGAGCTTAAGTGATACTAATAAAGAAAGACATAAGCAAATAGGAGTATCAGACAAATGAAATACACACAATCAAACAACACCATTATTAAGACACAGAAGCTCAGTACTTCATTCACACATTCACAAACCTTTCTCCCCAAGTTTCTAAAATTTTGATAATAAAATCTTACTACTCATTTATCCTACACAAACATCTTTGTATAATGACGACAGACACAAGAACACAACACCATTAAGTTTGCCACAGTTGCATAATGTACATGTCATTCCCAAAGTTCATTTTCCGCATCAAAAGTATCCGAAGTATTACCTATGAACTCTTTCAAAACAAATTCATTGATAATAGAGTACCAAGTCACAAGATTTCTAACAAGCATTTTATCAAACACCTTATATGCACTATCAGGATATTCATAAGTGTCATAAAAATGTACCAATAACCCATTATAAACCAAGTTTTAATTGCAACATAATTACAAAAACAGTCACCTCCATCTCACACGAACCAACAACAATAGCACATGTTCCATTTCTACAAAAATAAAAAAATTAAACAAAAAATAATTTTCGTATGACTTGACAAAAAATTACCAAAACAAAAACATTTAATAGGAAATTTAACGAAAACTAACAAAGATTAACATGCAATATGAAAATGTTAACGAAAACCCTAAATTGAGAACACACAAAGTCAAAAATCAAGCAAAAATTAGAATATCAAACTCGAATAACCAAAATTAAGAGCATTCATATTCGAAATTTCAGAACACTAAAATCGAATGTTAGAACATTAAATTAAAAAATTTACTAAATTAAATTAAGATCACTCAATTTGAAAATTTTAAAGAAAATCTGAAAATAAAGAGCATGAAATTTGAAAATTACTAGCCAAAATTAAGAACATCACTTGTTTATTGTTCAATGAAGCTTGTTGATTCTTGTTGTTGCTGAAATCTGATATAAATTGAACGGATTTGTGCTCAAAATCCTTGAATCTCATTGAAATTGTGATTGGAGCTCGTAAGTTCTTCTGATGAGCAGTAAGTAGTTTTCTATAAAGGGGGAAAAGTTTGGTCTTATTACTATTTTGCCATTATAGAGGCGCATTTGATGTGAGTCGTTGATGACGTTTGATCTTAAGGCCTAGATTTGTTCTCATATACTAGTAGTGTTCTCACCGTCACCGGATTCCGACCCGGTATAGAAATAGGATCATATAGTTTATTCTCCCTTAATTAAAAGGTCTCAAAATCTTGTGTAACTATTTTTAGCAAATTGAACACAAAATAATAAAGAATACAATTATTATAAAGGATAATATATCATATTAGGAATAATATTATTATAGTTATATTATATAAATATTACACAAAAATAAAAAGATTTTGCTAAAAATGAGGTGACACATATTATTCCGAGACTAGGCTTCTACTGCATAATGAACCCCACCAAAAATACCCAAAAAGCATTGAAATCATAAAATATATGAACATTGTTGATTTAAAAGTGCAATATCTCAATGAAAGCCTTAAGAAAATAACTGAGATACAAGATAGTCAGATAGTTATCTAACATCAATCACAAGCTCTTGAAATCTCATGCTAGCCAAAAAAAATATCCCAACTACAATCAACCCACAAAAACAATCACGACTACCATAGCATGCAATCAGAACAATGAATTTCACAGTTTATCAATCAAATTCAAGACCCAAGTTAAAGAAATTATTATTCAACAACTAATCAATCAATTCACAGCAATATAAGGAACAATAATCATCAATCGATTCACAGCAATTCAAGGAACAATAACTTCAACAAATTAAGAATCAATTCACAAATATCTGAGGAACAATAATCTCGGAAAATAATCAATCAATTCACAGCAATTTCAGGAACAATAATCTCGGCAAATTATCAATCGATTTCACAGCAATTTAAGGAACAATAATTTCCGCAAATTATGAATAAATTCACTACTATATGTACAATTAAAACAACAATATGTTCTAGAAATCGAATTTAATTTGTACAATTATATACAATTAATCATAACGAATAAAACTACCGGTAAATTATCAGCAAACTTCCATTCTCAAAGGAACCTTCTCTCTCTCCTCAGTAATCAAACGAACAAGCTTTTTGAACGCAAAATGCAAGCAATTTGAGAAAACAATCCAACACAAAACCTCGTAGACGAAATCGAAAGCCGGATCATCAGGAAACGAAGAAGACGAAGACCAATCATCCCAATTAAAACCACCACCACCTCCTCCAAAACCGGAATTCCAGCCACTTCCGCCGCCAAAACCGCCGAAAAAACCGCTATCATCGCCGCCAAAAAATCCACCTTCATCTTCGCCGTCGGAAGGGGGAGATCGGCGGCGAGTGCGATGGCGGCGCTTGAGGAGAGTACGGCGCGCAGAGGTGCAAGAAGCGGAGCGAGATCTGACGGGAGGAGGAGCAACAGCGTCGGTAGGGAAGATAACGGAGGAAGTTCGAAGAGAGTCGGTGATTAAGAGTTGGTGAGAGAGAGAAATTGTGTCTGCCATTGCTGAAAGTGAAACCTCCATTGAAGAGAGAGAAAGAAAGAGAGGAAGCTGAAGGTTTTCAGAGAGAGATTGGGGAATTAGGAGGGTATTATTATGTTGTGGTTTATATGATGAAACGACGATATTTTTATAGTTGTGTGTCGGGGTGTGACGAGAACTTTGACACGTCTTTGATTTCCTTATTGATGGGGGAAAACGTGGGATTAAATTTTATTTACGGTAGGAATTTTGGTGAGTTTTATACAGAATAGGAAAAATTGTTTCTAATTATCCAAACTTTTGTTGGTTAAAAAAATAGGGAAATTTCTAGTGGTATACTCCATGTTTATTTTTTCCAGCAGTAGCACATTTTTTTTTTTTTGACTTCTTAGTGATATACCCTGGTTTTTTACTTCTTAATAGCTGTGATTAGTCTGTTAATTAAAGGTTAATAACCTACTTACTAAATGTTAATAGCAGTTTAGGTTAATAAAAAAATGAAAAGACTTATATACCCCCATTTAAATCCTTCCCTCCAACTGCCATAATTAACCCCTTCCCCTTCCATTTATGTTGATTAGACTTCTATTACATCACTCCGCATTCAAAATTTTTTTGCTCATTTGAATTGGCGAAGGGAAAAGCTAGGGTTTGCAAAGGATTTTCGTTAATTTCGCTGAATTAGAAAGGGAATTCTTGCATAATTCAGGTATATTACTACTGATCCTTTATTTCATGAATTGGCACATTTGTTGATGTAGTTTGATGTTCTGTTTTTCAATTTTTATTGAGATGTTGTATTTTTATGCGAAATTAGGTTACTTTCATCTACATTAGGTGTATGATTATGTTTGGACAATTAGTGGGTTAATCTTGGTAGTAAATTTGATGGCATGATCATGTTTGATTGATTGTTGTATCCTTGAATGTTTGTTGTTAAAAGTGTCAAGTTTATTGGTGCATGTTGTAAGTTTCTAGGTTTTTTTCCTTATTTTGTATGGGTGACAGTGATGAGGTTGTGTTAAGGTTTAATTATCTCGGTAAACATATTGATATGGATGTGAACTTAGATACATGTAATTTGATCGACTTGGTTATGGAATTTGAAGACACTGCTGTGACTATGGACAGTAAACATGTTATCATCAACCCTACCTTTAATTATGTTTACAACCAAAAGCATAACCCTCTATTAGATGATGTTCATTTATTTAGGATGTTTCAGACCCTGCCTCAGTCTGATGTATATGACATTTGGGTTGGGTTTGCCAAAAAACCAAGTCTTCTGAATAAAATGATCAAGAACTTAAGGATGTCCAAACTTGCACCACCTCAACTAGTTAATCAAGCTCCACCACCTCAAGCTAAACCACCTCAAGCTGAACCATCTCAAACTGAACCACCTCAAATTGAACCACCCCAAATTATTGCATCTTCAAATGTTGAACCAATTGCTTCTAAAATGATACCTAGGAGGACCAGTGATCCTGAACCTTAGCATTCCCTAAAAGACATATCCCTAAATGATGAGGTTCTTGGTAATGATGCATCTCCACTTAGGCATCCTGGTTTTGAAGAACCCTAGGAAGATAGAGATGAACCTAGACCTAAACAAACTGCTGCTAAGTATACCAAGGGTAGGAAAGAGTTTGAAATGACCATGGAGAGGATAGCAAAGTCACAGGCCAAATTTAGAAAGGGTAAGAAGAGCATTGCCATCAACCAACCTAGATTACCACCATCCCCTATCTCACCAAACACTGTGTTTAAGAGCTTACCCCTAAGAAGGAGCCCTATATTTTCACCTAATACAGTCACTGAGACACTTGTTTCTAATGCTGAACCATTGACAAAGGCATCTCAGACCTCTGTATTTGCAAGAAGGGTTCTTAGGACCACAACAATTAGAAAAGGGATAAGGGTTAGTTCTACTATGACTGAGAGAAGGATGCTTGGTGTATGTAGATTCTGGTGAGAATGTGAGTCAGGTGGAGGGCTCAAGTTCTGGTTTTAATGTGAGTTAGGTGGAGGGCTCAAGTTCTAGTTTAAGGGTGAGAAGAAGAATGGAGTTTGTTTTCGAGAGTGATGAATCTGGAGGTACAGAGTGTGATGGTGATTATAATCAGGCAGAAGAAGAGGAAGACTCTGATTGAGAAGTTGCACCGAAAGGTGATGTACATGCAGATGAGTTAGTGTAACTAAATAGAATTCCCAAAGTCAAGGACAACTGGAAACCAGGGAAATGGTTTGAATTTTTATATGATGAAGAAGATGATGATTACTTTAAGAGACTTTACAAGAATGGAGCGATGAATGAGGATGGTGATTTTGGTAAGATATCACTCAGACCATGGATGATTTTCACTGATAAGGCACATTCTAAGGACACTTTGAAGAACTATGCTGTCTAGGAAAAAGTTGTAATTAATGTGGAGTACGCAGAAAATAAAAGATACACTACAGTGTGCTACTCTGAGTGTTGTGACAAGAGGTTGCATGCAAGTAGACTTGCAGATGGCAGAACTTGGGCAATAAAGAAAATATGGCCCAATGTACACACTTGCAAGGGTTTAGAGACATACAACCCCATATGCAATGTGAAGTGGGATTCTCATAAAGTCATGAAAGACATTAGAGCTAACCCAGATTTTCCTGGGAAAGCATTAAATGAACTTCTATTCCAAAGATATGGCATCTACATGAGGCAGTCAACTTTATACAGGTTAAAGAGTGTAGTTGAGCAGTTGTTTAGAGGCCATGATGAGTCATACTCTCTTTTGCCAATGTATGCTCGGATGTGCATGGAAACAAATCCTGAAAGTAAATCTTTTTGTGCATGGCAAGAAACTGAGTCCTTCCCTAAACAGCTTCAATTTACTAGCATTTTCATTTCCTTCACTAGACAATGGAAAGGATTTCTCAGAGGTGTTAGACCTTTGATTGGTGTAGATGGTGAAGGAATTATGTCTTCGTCAAGTGCAATTACTAGATATATAATGGATCAAATTATGGAGATAATTAAGTTCGTCCATTTAAATCGTCGTTATATCATAGTTAGAGGTACTAACGCTCTTTGGACTAGTAAAATAGGCCAAAGCCCAATTGGACGGATCCTATAAGGTCACACAAAGGGCCTAGATCAAGCATAAGAGGACGAGGCCCATGATAGGCCTCATCACTCTAGGTGGCCGGCCATGAGGCTTGGTTTGGAGGGTTTTGGGCTTCCTAACCTAGTCTAATTATAATAGGATTATAAATAGACTAGGTGCCTAGGTTTTCACGAGAAACAGTTTTACTGTTAATTGAAACCCTAATTAGCAAACACGAAACCAACTCCCTCAAACTCCCTCTCTCTCTCACGGCTCTCTCCTCCTCTCGGCGCCGATGGTGTGCAGTGGTGGTGGTGATCATGCGTGGTGGTCAGTTGTCCATTAAAGGTGGTGATTGCGGTTTTCCCTTTCACTCGACTAATCTAGCATTGGTGGATGCTTGATCGAATCCCGTGGACTAAGTAGTGGAGTCACGCTTGGGGCTCTATTCTCTCGCTGATTTTTCAATTAATTTGCTATGTGAAAATCACGCTTCAAAGGTATAATTATATGATTCTTGTATCTTATGTTTGCGATCCTGTTTAGGTACGTATGAATATGATTCAAGAAATTCCGCTTATGATACCTATAATCCTACAATGGTATCAGTTAGCCTCTTTCATGAACACGCTTGATTATAATAATACGATTATTTGAAGTCCATGTTCATAATTTTATGATCAATTAAGAGGGAGAATTAATTTAATTATAGTTCAATTATTATATCAAATGTTATTTAACTCTTGGGATTGATTAAATGTGATTTAATAATGCTCAAAAAATCCTAGAGCGGACCGAATTCTTTCCCTAAATTGTTTGAAAATTTCGAACCCTAACCTAATTAATTTTCGGATTTTTCGAAAACCCTAGCCCTAAATTTTGATATTGTGCTTATTTTGGTTAAATTCGATTTATTTTCATGTTTCATAATTTTAATTAGATTGATTTATGCATAAAAGTGTTTTGTATATGATCATCAATTTAATTTTAAGAGTTAGAATTAATTTTGGAATTAATTTTATGATGAGCCCTAATTTTAAAATTAAATAGGCATTTAATTTTAATTATTGGACTGTTTTAATTTAATTTTAAAAAAGGTTGTTTTTATTAAATTAAAAAACAAAAAAGACATATTTAAAGTGGCCAGTAGCCACGATGGCTGCCGACCAGTGTCAGTCCAAGAGGGAGGGGAAGGTCTGGGGTGGCTGGGCAGCAGCCGTGCAAGCGTTGCTAGCTGCTGCCGCGGCTACGCTGTTGCTGTTGCTGTTTGCAACCGTGGCTGCTGAAAAGCAGCCAACCACCTTGGCTAGCCTTGGCTGGCCACGCACGGTGGCCTGCAGCCAACAGCAGTGCTGCTGCCGCTACTGCCTTACGATAGTGGGTGCTGGGAGGCGCCTAGCCACCATGGCTAGCCTCGATTGGCCAATGGCTGGTGGTTGCGGCGGATTTTCAAAAAATATATATATATATATATATTTAAGAAGAATTTTCAAAAATAAAATCAAATTTTATTTTGGGGGTAAAACCAAATTTCAAAAGTTGTTGATTTGGTGATTATCCATAATTAAAGTGGTTAATTTTGGATAAAATTTGTTAGGATATTTTCATCATATTCCAAAAGGATAATAATGTGATTATCCCATAATTAGATTTGGAAATAATTAATTTTAAAATTATTTGATTTGCTAGTAATTAGGATAAAATCTCCTAAATTAATTAGGATAATCATGGAAAATAAATATGATTTATCTTTCTATATTAAAATAAGATTTGATTCTATCTCATGCCAAATTTAAAATATATGATATTTTATAGATGGCAATGAATAATATATGATATTATGTAATTATGAATTTGAAATATGAGATATTTTAGGAATTGTGTTGCCTTAATTGTGAACATTTGATTTTGTAGTTTAGGCAAGCATGTTGA